CATCTTACCTCAGCGTGGAGGGCTACATGGCCTGGCAAGGGCCCAGGAATAGCAAGGCTTCTGTAGGTTAGGATTTAGTCTTGCTGGGGGTGGGGGGTGGGCAGCTCTGCCAGAAGCTTATGCAGCACCTGCCTTCTGCAACTTCAGCCCCCCCCCCCCGCAGCTAATCCTGCAGTTTTGTGAGCTACATTTGTGACATTTTTTTTTATTTCAAACTGTGATTGAATTTTAGATCTCTTAAAGAGACAAGGGATTAACAATCTGAGCAACTGAAGTCCAGACTTGACTTTACCTAGAGAATAAGCATAGTTTTAATTTTGCCATTGCTGGAAGGATGAGGTATCACTCTCAGTTTCAAGGTTTGCTTATTTTATAGGTTTCAGTACAATAAGGGCCACACCAAATGCTGTGTTGCTGTATTCACTGAAGTGGTGTTGTTTTTATAAACTTAACTGCCATTGTGTTCTGCATACTTGGTGATTTGCTTAATGCAGTTTTATAGATCACTGACTTGGTTCACCGACTTAAGTTCCATTTTCAGGGGAACACGCAGCATAAAACTAGGTAAAATTAGTAGGTGAGATAAATCCACTAACTGCATCTGGGAGTGAAACTGGGAGGGTCCTCTCCACAAGATACACACCACACACACTGCACATGCTGTCTCCAGGCAAGTTGTTGCCATTTCTCTTCTTCTTTTCCCCTTCCCCCTTCTTTTGCTTTGCTCTGCTTTGCTTTTTCTGGAGTACAACCCAAATATTTCGATTTGAGCCCTGAATCTCTGAGGAAAGCCAACTGTCCACCCCGCCGCTGGCCACGGGCGATTGCTGAAATAAAGAAACTGAAAATAAAGGATTTGGGGCCCTGATGATTGGCGCTGCATCAGACCCACTGGATTAGCTGGCATTTTGCCCACTGCTCCTGCCCCAAACACTGGAATCTTTCCACCTGAGGTCTTTTCCCCATGAAATCAAATGCTGTCCTCTTTCCTATCCATATATTCGTTTTTACAAATAGAGTTCGCCTTAGGAGACAGGGTCCTTTCAAGACATACCCACAAGCTTTAGATCTCTCTCTCTCTCTCTCTCTCTCTCTCTCTCTCTCTCTCTCTCTCTCACACACACACACACACACACACACACACACACACACACACACACACGGCCATATAAAAATCTGCATTTTTCCCTGTGTGCCTTGAGCCTCGGAGACCCTGGTACCACCCGTTTGGGGCTGCAACATCTGTGCACAACAACCCCGGATACCTTTGATGGTAGGCTGCCTCAGCAGGGTGTGTGTCAACACTGTGTGGTTTGTATGTCCGTGGTTTGCAGAGGAGAGAGCCTCCACCGGCTTTAGAAATGGCCAGCAACGTTTATAGACAGATAATGTGGTTCTCCTTGTTTATGTCAGGCTAACCGCAAGCCTTGTGACTGAAGCGGGGCATTTAGACCTTCAGACCATATGTCCTGATTAAATGTCATCCAGTAGGAACTGGCTGGTATGAAAATTGAGGTAGGCTGGGGGGAGGAATACTCCATGCCACAGGAAGCATTAGGCTGTTCTTCGATGGAAAAGATACAGCTATTTTAAGTATCAGCTAAAGCTGCTTATTCCTGGACTCCCTGTTAATATATATATATATGAGATGTCCTAGATGAAATACTTATGCTTACAGAGTTGGAGGAAGGCAGCCCAATCAAAACATTTACATAATCTTCAAATATTAATATTTGTAGTTAATAATACCTGAACATCTGCTAGTTCCAGCAAGGTCAATAGTGTCGAGATAACACTGAAAGCAAATGTGATCCCACATTAGCCTAGCAGGGGCTCTGCCGCAGGCAGGGGCAAAAGAATTCCACTGCACGCGATGAACAGATTGAGATGAGGAGGTGTGGATACACATTTGACCCGTACAGTGGAACAGCACAGGTGCAAAGGAGAATGCCTTACACGGGGAAAGCCTCTGGTCCCTCTAGCCCGGTATTGCTGCAGTGACTAGCAGTGGCTCTCCAGGTGGCCCTTCTTTCCTGGAGATGCTGCAGGATGAAACTGGGACCTTTTGCATGCAAAGGACCCGCTCTGCCAGTGAGCTACAGCCCCCTCCCCGCTCTAGGCCAGATCGAGAGAAAGAGGTGCATCCGAATAGCAACAATCAGATCGGTCACGTCAAGCTGAGTTGCTGTCAAAGTGCAGCCTGGTTATTGTTTTGCTCCAGCTAAAATGGGGCCTGCCTGCAGTTATAGCAAGCTCAGCACTCAGGTACTGCATCTGCTGCCAACATGCTTTCTTTACAAAAAGCATAAGAGATAATTAGATCTACTTGGAAAAGGTCAGTGAGTATTTCCAGACAAAGCTACCGAGCAAGTCCCTGCTCTCTTCCACGTGAAAACACAGGGTATATACAGATAACGGTGGCAATGGAGCTTCAGAAGTTTCCAGCATGACGTTTCTAAGCTCCCTTGCCACTGTTATCTCTACATACCCCATATATAACCCCCTTGAATCCAGCGTATCCCTTCACTGTTCATCTGCTCTGTGTGAAGCAGGGGTGGGCAACTCTCATGGCCTCTCGCCATTGGCTATGACGGTTCCGGCTGATGAGAGCTGTATGCCAAAACATGTGAAGGGACACAAGGCATCCACTTCTGGAAAATAACTGGTTTTGAGGATGCTCTTTTTAAAAAATTGCTAAATATTTGTAGAGGAAATGCATATTAAAGAGAAATGAGAAATGAAAGAGAAAATTGTCAGTCATGCTTTTTAACAAATAAAATATTGTCTCTGTGTTAAATGTTGCAGTTTAGAGGTTTGGACAACAAGTTGGTTTTTCTTACGATCCTAAATCCATTGACTGAGGAATACATTATATCAATAGGTTTCACTTCTGAATAGACATACTTAGGATTGCACAATTAAGGCTCCATTACTTCTTGGTAAAACAAACAAACATCTTCATGGAGGTTGTGAAATACACAGAGGAAAGGTAAGATCTCTCACAAACCATTACCTGATATCCTGAAGTAGGTATCATCTTCAGGACCATTCTCCTGAAGTAACTTTTCATACTTTTAACATAGAAGAACATCTTTTATTTGACATACTCACCTTGATCCCCAAGTACCAATGGTGTAAGGGATTGATAGATGAAAGAAGATGTAAATTAGCAAAAATACACTGGTCTACAAATTTTGGTAAAATTATCAACCTCTGAGATAAAATGTGCTAATTCTTACATATTTTGATTAGATGAATTAGGAACAGGTGATAAAGGTGCTGGTTGGCTAAAGTTTTCAATATATTTCACAAATATTTATGCACAGGCAAGTATATTTGCCTACAGGGAAGGAGGTGTCTGATGATCATGATGCCTCGTAACTTCTCAACAAAGTATGGTAGAACAATGAAAATGGTACCACATGGAAGTCTATAAATTTATCTTCACTTTGAGACTAAAGATTACTACCTAACTGTAATCTGTTGTTCTTTTATTGCAAGGTACATTGGTCTTGGTCAGATCTACTCATCATACAGTTACATCTGGTAGCTCGTGAAAGTGTCATTGCCCAACATTTCCAAGGGCCATTTGCATGCTATTTTCCCTCAGAAGCCAAGATGCCTTGAAACTGTGTAAACAATGCAGATAACTTCTGCTACATTTGCGGCAAGGTTATATTTGCATCTCAAAAGTGCAGTATGACGGCAGTGGTAAAAAAAGGCATGCCACCAATATCTTGGATGCAAAATAGAGGATCATGACCAGAGTTGGCCCCCTCATTATTGTTGCATTACATGAGCAACTTATCTGCATCATTAGCTAAACAAGAAGTCCATGCCTTTCGCAGTCCCAATGATGTGGAGGGACCCACCAATCATAGTAGCGACTGCTATTTTTGCATGGTTCCCCCAATTGCACATTCCATCCATACTGCATCCTGTACCCCATGGTGAGGACTTGCCAATTCCAGATCCACCAGAATCCTACTCTCTAGACTCAGATGATGATAAAGACAATGCGCAGGATGCAGCTGATCCAGGGCTGTCGATGTCAGTGGACCCAGACTTTAGCCCTCCATATGTTCTTCCTGAACCACATCTGATTTCACAGAGTGAACTACATTTATAATGATTGGTGTGGCACTATTCTCATTGCTATATCACATTTTGCAGAAAAGTTATGGAGCATAATCACACATCCCCCTCATAATTTTGAATTATGTTGATACAATTTTGACCTGAAGCTGTATCTTGGAAACTGGAGCCAATTAATACTCAGGACTTAATTTTCCTTTATTAGTGACCCAATTCTGGTAAAATTTAGCTACTTTCAGTTCCGAGGTATTCTCCTTGTAGACCAATGATATTGAAAGAAGAAAATATAAGCAATTTAAAGAGAAGAGGCTCAACTCTATGCACTCTTTCCTAAGTTCTTAAGTCCCACGGAATTCAGTGGACCTTACTTTGCTACCTACATCGCATTGGACTGCTGGGCTAAAATCCTGTGTACACTTTACTTGGGAGTAGCCCCCCACTGAGCTCAGTGGCATTTAGCACTGAATAAAAATGCACTGCGTTGCATGCATTGCCTTTTACGGTGGGAAGATCCTCATAGGGTAATTGCTCTATGCTAGTAAATATTTTGATTAACCAGAACGGGGAAACTGTGTGATTCAAGTCAAATCAGCAAAGGTGTTCCTTGTGGATCTTCTCCATATTGTAAGCATTCTCCATATTAGAAATAGGACCTACAATTCTCAAAAATAAAATAGCATTTAGAAAACCAGGTCCATTGCAGGCCAGTTTGGCAATAAGGTGGGAATATTATTTTTAAATGGTCCTGGAAATTTAGAATACCCATTTTCTGTTTTCAGCACCATTGGTTTGACTCTAATGAACTAATCACACAGCAGCCAGTGGCTTTACTGTTGATGCAGGAAAATGTAGATGCATTGAACTGTTCAGCACCAAAGGAATATAAGTAAGAGCCGATTTCTTACCTCCAAAAGCAGGCCTTATAGTGAAATCATGATCATCTACTCTCAGGAGCTGTTCGCTTTTTCCTGTCCGAGTTTTGGTCATGTCGTGGTTCTTTTTATATATGTGGCTAAAACGGAAAGCAAGAGTACCAGTTGTCATGCCCGGTCTCTAAACACTGTACCAGAAAGAAATCATGAATGTTGAACTTTTTCTGTGGGACATCTGTAAATGAAAAAAGATGGGAATCACACTTCAGCACAAAGGATTCCCATACAGTGGGGGAGCCATTAAGTCCCCATGAGACTGGGAGCATGTCTACATAGCCCACAAGCACTGCCATCATGCCAAATTGGGAGCACAGCAAAAGCCCTTGAAGAAGAAGGAAAGACAGTGCATGGTACAACTCTGTAGTGTCGTGGTCAGTATAGTGGCAGCCTCACCTCCACTGGCCTTCCCATGTCCCCATGGGTCTATCAGCATTAGTTGAAATAGAGAAACTCTTCAAAGCATGCAAATTAAATGCGTCCATGTCACCTATCTTAGTGCTTATTCCATGAACCTGGCCAGCACTTCAGCGACTATTTTCCAGCTAGTCCATCCAACATGTCTAAATAGACAACAAGTAGTACTACTTGTCTGTTTCAGTGAAGACAAAAATGTGTGAATTTGCAACATAGCCCACCCTGCAAATAAGCTATGTTATTCCGTGAACAACCCACAGTAAACCTGGGAGGGGAGGGGAGGGGAGGGGAGGGGAGGGGGTGTAGCAACTGTGACAAGAGGGATATGGGTTTTTTGGTGCTCTTGCTGAGTGACTAGCTTGCCCACACTGCACCCAATGCCTACGTTCAGATGATGTGCACAGAGCAACACCTAAAACAAGCCATGGGCTGGCAGGGTAGCTGGTTGCCCAGAAACAAGCAACCTGGCAGGAAGTGATCCTCAATTCATACATGACCAACATACATACATACATACATACATACATACAATATGAATATCATAATAAGCCACGGAATAATATAATAAGCCAAAGAAGGTCAGTGTGTCATAACAACCTGGGAAGGCTCTGTGAAAGTGACTGAAGATTGTCTCATAAGTGGCCCTGAAAATCCATGGGAGGTTGCAGGGATTGCGTCACCCACGCCGGATTCTTGCGTGATCTGAACCTGGCTGCCATGAGGTGAAGGCACGCTGCCCCTCTCCTTGCTGCTGCCTTGGCAGCTATGGGCAGCCCCCTGAAAATGCTCCAGCAGCAGCTTGGAGGGGCTGCCTGGGTTTGTCAAGCATTGTTTTAATTCCCTCTCCCCTAAATTTGGAAGTATTTATGAAAAGTGTTTTTAAAACCCATAGTTGCTCAGCTGCAGACATTTGCATGTGCACAGGTATTGGAATGGGCAAGTACCCACCCTGGCACTGGCCAGCAAAGGCTACAGGTATGTTTATTTTTCCCTTTGGCTCCATCTGACAATGTTAAAAGGTGAGCTGTGCCAGGTAACCAAAGGCACACGTGATCCTGACTTGTGAAAATGTGGAGAAGCCAGTTCACTGCCTTTGCACCGAGAACCACAGCAAGGAGGCATTGGAGAGGGGAAGGACTCCTGCATCACAGGGGATCCTGCACTTTGAGATTTATTCCTGAGATTCTGTCAGTTCAGGAATAATTACTGGAGTAGTGATCTTTGACAGTTGTCAAAAGTAAATTTCATCTTAAAGTGGGTTTAGAAAAAGTAAAAAGATCTTTTGGGAAAGAAAGCATGTAGCCTTATAGATTCTATAACCTGTCTAATTTCCTGTCCTCACCAAAACAAAAACAAAAAAACCCACATTCTAGTTGTTGTTGGAGCCAAAGTTAAAAGGGGCAGGGCCAAAGGCAGAAGGAATGAGCCTGAAAACATAAAACCCCCAAGACATTGCAGCTTAAAGCTGTTACTTCCAGTGCCTAAGCTTAGGAGGCGCATTTCTACCTTTTAGAATAGGGCAAGATGGCAAAAGCTGGGAAACCACCCAATGGTTAAAGAGTGAGGAAAGGGGTGTGGCCACCTGAGGGACCTGGAGAGCCCATCAGTCTAAAATTTACACCATTATTCCCGTGCCCATTGGCCTGCATCTGAAGGCTCTAATCCAGAACAGATTTGGTTTTGCACAGAGTTGCTTCTTCGTACATCTGAATTTGACTATGAGTAAGCATGTTTAAATGAATCTAAACAGATTAATGAATCTGACATATTTTCGGTCGTCTATTCTCAAGTAACCGCCAAGTGAGATTACTGCAATATGCTCTTCCTTTGAAGATGGTTCAGAAGCTGAAGCTTGTAAAAATGCAGTGGTTGGACTGCGAACAAAGACAAGAAGATCCAAAGAGGCACCCATAATGTTGGCTCCCATTCTGGGGTGCCTATAAGTTTCTGAACCCAATTCATGGTGTTGGTTTTGATGTATAATGCCTTTTGTTACTCAGGACCCACCTCTCCCAGCATGGACCTAGCCACCTGCTACAGTCATCATCAAAGGCCTTCCTCTAGCTGCCTCCTCTGAAGGAGGCTTGGAAGGTGGCAACGGGGGGGGGGGGGGGGGCTTCTTGGTGGTGGCCTCCAATTATGGAACATTCTCCTTAGTGAGGCCACCTGATACCAGCATTATTATCTTTGGGGTATCAGTTCAGACCTTCCTATATTTTCATGTATTTGGCAGGTTATGATGAGGTTTTTCGTTCAAGTCTTGGCATTCTTATTTCTGATTGTTAAAATAGTTCAATGTATATATGGACGTGTGTGCAGTCTGTTATATATTTGCTTGTAAAGATCTTTTATACTATGTACAAAATGGTATTTTTAAGGTTTTTAATCTTTGTGAACTGCCACTGTGTAGTATAGAAATGAAAAGAAAAGAAATAGAATACCCTAAGAAGCAAATATGGAAATCGTATGTCGCATGAACAGAATGAACTGCATGGAAATACGGCTGAGTAACTTCTCAGGTGAAAAGTTGCTATAATATATGTATGTAAAAATTTAATTATAGTCATGCTAGCCATGCTGAGGGGACAGTTAGCTAAGATAAAAATGTCTAGTTTTCTAATCACTCCTGTCCCATTTGATTTAGAATGGGAGATTAGAATTAATTAAGATTCACATGCCCTTTGCCCTGGCAGTGAGATCTAGAAAATTGTAAATACCATTGCCACAAGTCAGGAACAGGAGAATATGGAGAAGCAAAGCATTTGTTTAAGCCAGTATTGGCTGATAGACAAGCTAAACAACAGAAATGGCTACTGGGGCAAAAAGGCATATAACGTAAGATGTCACTAATTATGCTGGAAATATCAGTGTATTACAAAGAAATGCCTACACCTAAAGCAGGATGGGGAACATGTGGCCCTCCAGACGTTTGTTGAGCCACAGTGCCCATCATGTCTCGGCTATGCTGACTAAATCATCCCCAAGCCATGTCCTGGAATTCAGTAGGAGCACCCCTGGGCCTGACATTACCAGCCACAGAGGAACCTGCATGCTGCATCCTTGCATATTTCACTGTCCTGGCCTTCCCTCCTTTGGGCTAGGAACATCTGCCCAATCCTGCAGTAGGTGTGACTGGAGATCATTCACTCAAGGTAGAAGCACTGCAATTTTCCACATCTTCTGCACTGTAGTGGGGCCAGAGCCTGCAGAGATGTAGCATTGGCATGAAGCTGGCCATTCCCTCAGAATTCCTTGGAGTTTAGCTATGATCCTCACAGTAGCTGCTGGTGCAGAATTAATTTCCCAATATATCGCTCCCTGTTGTAATGCAATGTGTTTTGGGGAGACTTGGTCTTGAATGGGCGAAGGAGACTTCCTAGCTTTACCAAAGACACATTCCTGGTGGAACTGCCAACACTAGAACAGGCTTGCTGATATGAATCCTCACATCTGCCTGAACTTTTGGAGTATCTGGCAGATGTGGCTAAGGAAAATTGTCAGCATGAGCATTTGCACTTTAGAACTTACCACTCTAAATGCACACTTTGAGAGCCCATTGCACTTCTGCATATACTACTTGGGTATATTCTCAGTCAAGAAGCCCAGACAGATCAATGGATCAGTTGTCCACACTGCTGGGGGCCATCTCTGAAGACATCACATCCTTCTCATTCATTCTAAAAATGACCTCATGTGGGGGGCAGGCTAGTCACTCAGCGAAAGAGCGCCTGTACTCAAGGGTGTCTTAACGCATGGGCCTGATGGGCACTTGCCCGTGGGCCCCATATTAATCTGTGCATGTTAACGCTTGGAAAATTGGAAAGCTTCCAAAATTGACAGTAGTTGTAGTTGTCGTAGGGGGCCCAGTACACTGCTTTGCCCGGGGCCCATAATGCTGTTAAGACAGCCCTGCCTGTACTGCAAGCAGAAGGTCCTGGTCCAGCCTCTGGCACCTCACGACAGGACTGGGGAAGCCACTTCTCTGAAGGCCTCTGGAGGTAGGTGGGCCAACAATCTGGCTCTGTATATGGTGGACCCCTTCTTATGAGCCTTCAGAGTTTGGACTATCTTCTGACAGCTCTTTAAATGGAGAAAGGTAAAGGAGCACAGATAACCATCCTGACAGAAAGAAGGCTATGAACAAGGAGGCAAAGAAGCATCTCAGAAGACAGGTGCAGAAGAAGACAAGGAGAAAATAGGAAATGAAGGATGAGAGTAGATAGGCTGCTGATCACACAAGCAGCAGTTGTGTGCATGGCTTCAAAAAAGTTAGCAGCAACCACAGGGGGTCCAGCCCAGTCAGTATCTCTGTAGGAGCAGAAGAGACCTTAGAAGACCCAGAATTTGCACTGAAACCCGCTTACTCGTGTTTCACTACTCAAGCTCTCAATATGACTCATCTAATTCCTCCAATGTGCCGGTTGCGCAGGAAGCCTGCAATTAATCTGAAGGTTCCAGAATTAAATGTCTTCAGTTCCCATATTCCCAAGCCGGGCACCCATATGAAAGGCCAGAAGTATACCTTGCCCTGATATATAGGAACACAGCTCTTTTCTCGCTATGCGAAAAGCGTTGCTGGTAAGCATGCTAAATTTATGCTTAACATTGAACAAAACTATGCATCTCCACAGATTTGGTAGCAGATCTATACTAGTCTACACTGACC